ACATGTCAGACTTCAAAATCATTTTTCTTCATAATATGATGTATAAAACAGAAAGGACCTCTTGGGCTTGAGCCTGATCAATGATTTTCTTCAAGTCTGTGCAACATACCRATGACACATTAATACTCGWTAATAGGGTTAATAACTCCAAACATATATGTRCTTGAATAATGAAGAAATAGAATGGGMTTRARGTAAGGCAATTCAGTACCAACACTATATGTTTCRTCTATTCCAAGTGTGGGGAGTTCACAACCCAATTGGACAAGGGATGCTCTAACACGCTCTAACGTCAAACTCCGACCTTCTTCACTTTTCATTGCTTCCTCAAAGATAGTGTTCATGGGAAGGGGAACTGTGGATCACAAATCAGACAGAAACATGAGAAACCACTTAGCTAAAAAATGTAAGAAACAAGAGGTTCCATCTGCTGAAATTGGATTCTCAACCAAGTGAACTTTCTAACAGAACAATAATAGGAGGTGTCAGGGTAAGGATTGAAGCAATAGTAAATGGCAGTGGAATCAAAACGCTTYGGATAGGTAAGTTCAGACTGTAACTGAGGCTTTCTAGGCATAGGCTTAATAGCACATTGGCAGTGCGGCTAGGCTTTGTGGGCTCAGRTGCTGGCTTCGCCAAATGCCAAAGTACGTTTGTGATTGGTAGATATTCCACAACCAGCAATAAGAAGGTCAAGTAATGCATACATAACAACCATTTGCATTTTTATYAACAACAAATTGCCATGACCTCTACAAGCAAAAATCTAAGAGAATTCGATTATGCTTACAAGTTTCTGGGGAAGGGATTATTTTTTTCTTCGTGTAGCATATATGGGAATTAATTGCATTACAGGAAGTAAATAAAGATAAAATAACTATATATGCAGTCAGATGATGCAAAAATAAACTTTTAGTTAAGACCTGCAAGTTACTACACCMAAAGTGTCAAAATGTAGATAGAATCCCAGATATAAGAAGAAAAAGGTAAATGCCTAACATAGAGGGTTGGCCTCCATGTAAACCACGGATTGATACTCAACTTGACATAAAAAAAGATGCAGTAATTGAAGAAGAGATAAATCTAACCTGTTTTTTCCATTTTCACTTTAGTTTCTTCTCTTCTACTTGCCTCAAAAATTGCACTTAAAACAATGCCAGCTATACTGTCSATGCGTGTTGTCACATGGGAAACACAAGACTGTACACCACAAATATAAGCAGAAAATATTAATGCGCCGAAATGAAGTCATATAATTGTGAACATTAATATGAATAAACCATGTTATCTCATCAACTGAGGCTAAATATGTATTTGTTGTTTATGTTCACTTGGCTATGGATGCAGTTAAAACCTTTTTAAGAAATCTCTGAATATATATATATACACACACACACATACATACATGCATACATACATACATTGGCGAAGGATCATGTCAGAAGGGAAGTTATGGTGAGAAGCGTAAAAAGGGATCTTGACTCTTGATCACCTTTAAATCTCAAACCCACCTATGAATTGCGCTTGATACGGGGATTGATCTAGTGCATCTCGGTGCATCTCATCCTAATGTGCATCCAAGGGTGGAGATCCCTTCTTACGCTTCTCACCTTAACTCTCCTTCTCACCAGAACCAAACCCTACATATATGTTGGTTTGGTTTATAAACATATATGCTGGTGCTATCTTTGTACAAGTAACAAAGAAGGAAATATATATACAACATACATGCATACATACATATATGTTGGTGCGGTTTATAAACATATATATCGGTGCTGTCTTTGTGCATAGAAAGAATGAGATGCAAGATATCGAGTGGGAGGGGGGAGAGAGAGAGAGAGAGAGGTTCATGTTCCCAGGATTGAATTTTTTTCTGGTTACACATACATCAGAGAGAACAGATGATAGATAGTAACTTTGTTATCAAGACTTGCAGAAACAATTGTCATAAATTAGTAGATCCCACAAACTATGCAGAAAACAACCTTATGCCGAAGACGTCGTACGAATTCCTCAAAATTGACGCGCCAAAGTATTTCTTTATTTGGTTTGGGTTCCAAAGAATCTTGTTTGCGCTGTGAAAACAATGTGTCAATACAGGTTATTGTCAAGAGACTTGGAATAACATTACACAAATCAAAGAACCGAAAGAAAGAAAACAAAGCTGCAGATGGACCTTTTCCCCAACAATTTCTGTAGTAGAACTTTTTTTGCTATTGTCATCAAGGGCACCATTGCTCAATGTATCTGCTTCAACTAAAAATCTTATTGATTCCATGGGAGCCGCAGCCGCTAATGCACGTGCCTCTAAGGTTTGTGGTACATCACCCATCTGAGAAAACCAAATTACTTGCACATGTTTGAGRCAATTCAGAAAGCCATCTGTAAATGGGAACATGGTTACTCCCTTCTTTTTCACATCAGCGTCCTTTAYTTTTTAGAACATCCCCAAACAAGTATAGTCTTCTAAAAATCCAAGTATTCTTACATACAACTATACACAAAAAACTTTGACAGATCAAAATTTTTAGGATTCGATACAAAAAGGTTATAGCTGAAGACAGCAGAAACACAGATCTTTTTAGATTTAAAAAAAAAAAGTTCCATGTCCCATCACTAAGGCTCCTTGATATGCATACCAAATAAAAGATGGACAGTTACAGGGAGTAACAAGTATAAAGTTCGAATATTTTGCTGGAAAGAAAAAATAGTTGGTATATCTGGTATTAATTGTCGTAGAAGTAACTCATCYGCATGCTTCAACTAAAAACTGTCAAACACCAGCTATTTATCCTACAAATGATACACATACTTTGGTTTAATTGCAGTCAAAATCCTGTCTCTCTCTCTCTTCTCCAACTCTCATATGTCAATTGTGTTCACTCTACAGTTTAATGCTACTTACCACTAACTAGCGTCGTAATTTCCAGCTAATTCMGAAAGCATAGCTACTTGCAAAGTTACAAACTAGAGAAACGAGCTTAAGACAGATAACATATACAAGGGGCAACTTGGAGGAGGACCAGCAGGTCAGCATGTGCCTCTGCATGTGAATTCTAATAAAAAAAAGCAATTTGCAAATCAACTCAGCTTCATCCATGTATATGTCATCAGATAACATCATCACCCACATGTATATATGCCATCTCAAATCTCTGTGCATGGAGGTGGTGATATTTGCTCAACCATTGGTACCCACACAAATACATGTATAACGGTTATTTTTATATACTTTACTCTTTTTTRAGAACGGATAATAGAGAGGATATGAGTTAAGGAAGTACCTGAGGTATATGATGTGAACCAGATTTACTAAACGATTAAAATAAAATTATAAAAGCAATGTAGAAGAGATAATAGTAGGATGCTTGATTAACAAGAAAACGACAGGTAACTAGCTATTCGAGCACCTAGACTCTCCAAAGACAAACTCAATATTTTCTGCCTACTCTATTCTCCCCTCTTTGCCCTATTTATTAACAGCCCTAATAACCTTAATGGGATTGGGATTGGGCTTGGGTCCCTAACATACCCGCCCCCCAAAGAACCACCTTGTCCTCAAGGTGGGAAAAATTCAAATTGGAGTTGATTGAGTTTCCCTTTATGTTCTTCGGTGGGGTCATTGCACCGTAGGAGCACTTCTAGCTCTTTGTTCTTACATTCATGCCCAACTCCATACTTTTCGTCACAGCGGAAACAAAGGCCTCTCGCGCTCTTATCTTGGAGTTTTTCCTCGGTTAATTTTCTAGTCATTCAGGATTCCGGTCAGATGGTTGTCATAGGGGGGTTGCCCGAACCAGTTACTCGAGTACCCCCAGGCATTCAAGAGTTTCTGTCTACAACGAATTGGGCAGTCTCCATAACTTAGGCCAGACCTTGTGGCCATAATAATCAAACTTTAGCCTGAGTCCATTCATGAAATTACCTTCAAACACCTTCTCCAGGATATTCAATAAAGAAGGATGCTAATAGTTCGAAGGAATGAGAAAACTCGTAAATAGTACCTGTTTGTCGGAGGGCTAGAAGTTGTTCAAGGGAAGAACCGCCGTCTATGAGTCGGAATCTATTGATGAGTTGCAGTTTCAAATCCTCCCAAACCAGAACCGGACACCTGCTATTGGCCCAATGAAACCACGCTAGAGCCTCGCCTTCCATACAAATCCCTGCAGTGGGAACCTTCTCCTTCTCCTCAAAAMGCTGAAGTGCAAAATAACGTTCTGCCCTAAGCATCCATCATCCATCTGGATCGATATCATTAAACATAGGTAATTCAACACTTTGCAATCTCCAATCAGTCGGAAAAGAATTCCTGATGTGGAGGTTTACTGGTTCCTCCCGTATCTGAATGGACGAAGAACAGGGAATTAACACCCCCTTTGGGTTGCGATTCTGGACCTCCTCCCAAACCAGAACCTTGAATCGACCCTCCTGTTTGAGTGGAATTRTCATATCCCGCTTGGAGTAGTGAATCCAGTTTACCTATAATTGCTTGAATTCCCTTGTCTAGATCGTCAATTCGTTTGGTTTTCCCAGCCTCATGATCGCAAAGCGCTTTCACATCGGCTCTCATGGATTGCAAACTCCCCTTGACAGATTTCAATTGCCCTCCCATCGCCTGGGCGGTTTCCTCCAGCAAGCGATCTCCTTGATTTTTGGGTGCCAAAGTCAATCAGAATCAAAAGCTCTGATACCAATTGATATGAACCAGATTTACTAGATAATAAAAAAAAAGCAAATGTAGAAGAAATATTAGTTGGATGCAATTAACAAGAAAGTGATAGGTAACTAGCTATTCGAGAGCCTAGACTCTCCAAAAGACAAACTCAATATTTTCTGCCAACCCTATTCTCCCCTATTCATTAACAGCCCTAATAACCATAATGTACTTGGGCATGGGGCACCTTGTCCTTAAGGTGGTTCTTCGGCAGCGGGATAATGTTAGGCGCCAACCCAGGCCCAAGCCAATTAGGGTTATTAGGGCTGTTAATAAATAGGGGAAAGAGGGGAGAATAGGGTAGGGAGAAAATATTGAGTGTCTTTGGGAAAGTCTAGCCTCTCGAATAGCTAGTTACCAATCGTCTTCTTGTTAATCAAGCAACCGACTATTATTTCTTCTACATTGCTTTTATTTTTATTGTCTAGTAAATCTGGTTCATATTAGTATACCCACTATGTTAACATTCTATTATTTTGATTTTAATTTCTATTATGTTTATTGGAAAAAAGAAGGGTGTACAGGTAATCACAAGTATTGTTCATTACATGAAAACCCACACCTTTGGGCTTGGGTAGCAAATGGGATCATCCATCAAGTAATGTGCCAAAAAAATTAACAGTGTAGAATCACAATAAACTGGCATACACAGAGTCACACTCCCTTGCCATTCCTAGAGTGTGTGTTATATACTTATACTATGAGTAAGGAAAGAGGATAGATTGTTGTTGCTGCTCATAAGAGGCAGTAATATTGCAATATGGTGGCAGTGGTGGTCTTGTACATGAAAGCAAGATGCCATGGAAGATAGGAGGTTCAAGAAAAAGAGGAAAATTACTTCAATAAAGAAAGAAAGAGGAAAACGACATAGATAAGAAATAAAATTTAATAACATTTGGAGGATTAAAGGATCTAAGTTGTTAAAGAGGCTGGTTCATCCTGTCATGTGTACTTTAACAATATTAGTGTCTTCCAAAACATTTGGGGATAAGCAAGGGCAATGATGACTTTTCAAAATGCAACCGTGTTCTTGAAATATCAATGAGTGGTTTTCTCAACTTCTCATAATTCYGATACCACCAAGACAGCAGACAAGGAGTGTCCGGCTTCTAAAGTACCATGTATGAGCGGTATTTTGCAATATTTGAGGCTTTATATCATATATGTGATGACAATATTCCTATTTAACTTGATTATGACTTGCAACTACAGAGGAACAGCTAGAATTGGTTTCGCCCAGAAAGAAATACAGATAAAGCAACAATTGGCTAATTCAGTTGGAGAAATRGTAGTTACCTTAGACCTAGCAGTTCGTTTCTTTGCAGGAGCATCTCCTTCCTCTGGTGCAAGAAATGGTTCATGAGCAGGGCATCTTTCAATATAGCAGGCCTGAATCAATGTATTGAAGTTTTCATGCAACACATTAGCAGCGGTGCTATTTTCTGCATGTTAATGAATAGATTTTAGCATGAGTGTTCAACTCATATTGGCAATCTAAAAAAAATGATAAGTGACTCTCAAAAGCGTCTCAAGTTGGCCATATCAAATCAAAATGAAAGTGAAAGATATTTGTGAAGGATATAACTTCCACAACGGAAGAAAAACACGCACATACTATTAATTCCAATCTGAAGAAGGATCAAGTTCTCTTCATCGGAAAAGAAATGAAGCTCTGAAAGCCGACTAACTGTAGCAAAGACTAATATAAAATACTTGCTAGAACTTGATGAAAACTAAGTTGCACAAATTGATAGATTATAAAAAAATCAAACATCCAAATACTAGAACTTGATGAAAATCAAGTTGCACAAGCAGTAGTGGAAGGATGCATATAAGGACGGATACATGTAAGGAATACATATAGTATTCTAAATTTTAACTCCTGTGTCCTGACAATCAACTTATCATGGATGCATAACAAACTGTGTTGATTACAATCCAATAGTTTTCAAAAAAAATTGACTGAAAAAGACACTGATAAGCCTCCAATTACGAAAGTATATTCGAGGAGGTGTCCAAAGTCAAATAGAGAGTAAAGTCGAGGGGGTAATTTTGGATATATAACAAAGAAGGCAATGAGAATAATATATGGCAAGTGTGTGGTTTTGGCATGGGATTTCATTCAGATTTTGTGTGATCCTTTGATCGTGTAGGAGAAAAATGGGCTCTCGAATTCCCATATAGCTTTCTTCGATTTTTCATTGTAATCAGTTCAGTTTTGCCATTAATATGATTACAATTGTTTGGGTCTATCAAATTGGTATAAGAGCGACCGACTCTGATCGACCATGCCTCCCAAATCTCAAGCCAATCGATTGGACGCATTAGAAGAAAGTGTTCAGGCAATTCGCACCAATTTGACAGGGAACACCAAAAGAATGATGATTTAGATCAAAGGATTCAATCCACGGTGGGGAATTTGGATACGTTGATACTACAAGGGCCGAAGGTCTCATCTCCAGCGGGTACATCTGGTGGTTCATATCAATCACGTGGATCTGGTGGCAATCCGGTTACGAAACCAATAGGTGATGTTAATTTTACTTTCGTTTCTTCTCCAGAGACAATTAGTTCCCCGAAACCAACAACTCAAGGATTTATTCCATCTGATTGGATATTACGACGTGTAGAGTTACCAATGTTCAATGGAATTGATCCGGATGGGTGGATTTTTCAGAGCCAAATGCTATTTCGCACTACAACATTTTGATGATAAAAAGAAGGTAGCCATGGCGGGTATATAACTGAGGGTGAGGCTCTCGCATGGTTCCACTAGGCTGATGGTCGTCAATCAATTTTGCTATGGGATGATTTAAAATTGCATATTATCAACCGGTTCAAGCTGACTGACGGTGGTTCCACCCTTAAAACAACTTTTAGCGCTTCGACAAATAGGTAACCTTCGCGAATTTCGTCATTCCTTCGAAATTTTAGCGTCTTCCCTATCAGATCTTCCAGATCGAGTGTTAGTGCAATTTCATGAATGGACTCAAGCCCAACATACATGCTGAGGTTAGACTGTTGAGGCCTCAAGGATTAGCCCAAATCATGAAAACGGCCCAATTGGTTGAGAATTGAAATTCTCGTTTGACTGGAAGCGTTAAAGGGAATAATGTATCGTACAAACCCTCCCCTAATTTCACCGGTTCAAGTCTTCGTCCAATTCCAACTTACAGTACCACGATCACTAGTGCTCCATCCTTGTTGAGGAAGAGTAAGGGTACTAGTCCAACATCCATATTACGACCCGAATTTGGAGTGACCAGGAAATTAACAGAGATAGAGCTTCAAGACAAACGAGTGAAGGAACTTTGCTTTCGATGTGATGAGAAATATTGAGTGGGTCACAAGTGTAAAAACAAGGAATTATAGATTCTCTTGCTCCAAGATGATCCTACAGAAACTAGTTAACAGGTTGGCGTGCTTAACCTAAACGAAATTGAGGGATGTCAAGACACTGTGATTCCACCAATCAAGCTGTCACTAAACTCTGTGGTGGGTTTATCATCACCGAGGACTATGAAAATTCAGGGTCACATAAATGGAGAAGTTGTGATCGTTCTTATTGATTGTGGGGCATCCCATAACTTTATCTTTACGGATTTGGTTACTCGATTACAATTACCAATAGAAGAGGCTCCTAGTTTCGAGGTAAAGGTGGGTACCAATCAAGTCGTAAAAGGCAGAGGCTGTTGTAAAGGGGTGGAATTGCGACTACCAAATTTAAGAATTAATACAAAATTCTTGCCTCTAGAATTGGGTAGCATTGATGTCATACTTAGAATGCAGTGGCATGAAACTTAGGTGACATGAAAGTCAATCGGAAGACATTGCAAATGAAGTTCAAAATTGATGGGTCTAAAATTGTCATCAAAGGGGAACCAGGTTTATAAAAGGCTGCAGTTTCTTTAAAATCTCTCTATAAATTGTGGCATTCCACAGAAGAGGCCCTGTTGGTGGATCTTTATTCATTACAAGAAGAGGTTGTCCTTCAAGAATCAGAATCGAACTCGATGTTCCAGGAGGTTATTGGGCAATACTCCGATATGTTCGAGTCACTCAACAGTTTACCCCCATAACGACGCCATGATCACACCATTCCCCTCGTTCCAAATACCATTCCTATAAGTACCAGACCCTAGCGTTATTCCGATGAACAAAAAAATGAGATTGAAAAGTTAGTACAAGAAATGCTTGTTGCTCAAATCATTCAGCCTAGTAAGAGTCCATACGCGAGTCTGGTGCTGTTGGTTAAGAAGGATGAGAGTTGGAGATTCTGTGTGGATTATTGCGCACTAAATCACGCCACGATTGCTAATAAATTCCCTATCCCACTTGTAGCGGAATTGATTGATGACTTAAACAGTGAGCAAATTTTTTCAAAAAGCTTGATCTCAAATCTGGTTATCACCAGATTAGAATGAAGGAGGGAGACATTGAGAAGACGACATTCCGAACACATGAGGGACATTATTAGTTCGTTGTAATGCCCTTCGGCCTCACCAATGCGCCGGCCACGTTTCAAGATATTATGAACGAGTTGTTTCGAGTTCATCTTCGTAAATTCATTCTCTATCTTTTTTGATGATATACTCATTTACAGCCATAGTGTGGACGACCATGCCTATCACTTGTCATTAGCACTTCAAATTCTTCGCGACAATCACTTGATGGCAAATCGTAAGAAGTGCATTTTTGCGCAATATCTAGTCGAATACTTGGGGCACGTGATCTCTCATAGAGGAGTGGAGGCAGAAGTTGGTAAGGTGCAAGCAATTAAGAAGTGGCCCTCTCCACGAACCGTTAAAGAACTTCGTGGGTTTTTAGGACTTACGGGATACTACCGACGACTTGTGAAGGGTTATGGAAGAATAGCTTGTCCTTTGACCCAACTATAAAAAAAGAACTATTTTGAATGGAATGGGGAGTCCGAAACAGCTTTTCAACAGTTAAAGGCTGCTATTATGGGTTTGCCGGTGTTGGCCTTACCGGATTTCAATAAANAAACCAACAACTCAAGGATTTATTCCATCTGATTGGATATTACGACGTGTAGAGTTACCAATGTTCAATGGAATTGATCCGGATGGGTGGATTTTCAGAGCCGAACGCTATTTCGCACTTCAACTTTGCGATGATAAGGAGAAGGTAGCCACAGCGGGTATATGTGTGGAAGGTGAGGCTCTCGCATGGTTCCACTGGGCTGATGGTCGTCGTTCAATTTTGCTATGGGATGATTTAAAATTGCATATTATCAATTGGTTCAGGCTGACTGACAGTGGTTCCGCCCTTGAACAACTTTTAGCGCTTCGACAACAGGTAACCTTCACGAATTTCGGCATTCCTTCGAAAATATAGCGCCTTCCCTATCAGATCTTCCAGATCGAGTGTTAGAGTGTAATTTCATGAATGGACTCGAGCCTAACATACAGGCCGAGGTTAGACTGTTGAAGCCTCAAGGATTAGCCTAAATCATGAAAACGGCCCAATTGGTTGAGGATTGAAATTCTCGTTTGACTGGAAGCGTTAAAGGGAATAATGTATCGTACAAACCCTCCCCTAATTTCACCGATTCAAGTCTCCGTTCAATACCAACTTACAGTACCATGGTCACTAGTGTTCCATCCTTGTTGAGGAAGAGTACAGGTACTAGTCCAACATCCATTTTACGACCCGAATCTGGAGTGACCAGCAAATTAACGGAGACAGAGCTTCAAGACAAACGAGCGAAGGGACTTTGCTTTCGATGTGATGAGAAATATCGAGTCGGTCACAAGTGTAAGAACAAGGAATTACATATTCTCTTGCTCCAAGATGATCCTACAGAAACTAGTGAACAGGTTGGCGTGTTTAACCTAAACGAAATTGAGGGATGTCAAGACATTGTGATTCCACCAATCAAGTTGTCAAGTAAACTCTGTGGTGGGTTTATCATCACCGAGGACTATGCAAATTCAGGGTCACATCAATAGAGAAGTCGTGATCGTTCTTATTGATGGTGGGGCGTCCCATAACTTTATCTTTACGGATTTGGTTACTCGATGACAATTACCAATAGAAGAGGCTCCTAGTTTCGGGGTAAAGGTCTGTACCGGTCATGTCGTAAAAGGCAGAGGCTGTTGTAAAGGGGTGGAATTGCGACTACCAAATTTAAGAATTAATACAAAATTCTTGCTTTTAGAATTGGGTAGCACTGATGTCATACTTGGAATGCAGTGGCTTGAAACTTTAGGTGACATGAAAGTCAACTGGAAGGCATTGCAAATGAAGTTCAAAATTGATAGATCTAAAATTGTCATCAAAGGGAACCTGGTTTACAACTACAGTTTCTTTAAAATCTCTCTATAAATTGTGGCATTCCACAGAAGAGGCCCTGTTGGTGGATCTTATTCATTACAAGAAAAGGTTGTCCTTCAAGAGTAAGAATCAAACTTGATGTTCCAAGAGGTTATTGAGCAATACTCCGACGTGTTCGAGTCACTCAACAGTTTACCCCCACAACAACGTCATGATCACACCATTCCCTCGCTCCAAATACCGTTCCTATAAGTACCAAACCTTATCGTTATTCCATGAACAAAAAAATGAGATCGAAAAGTTAGTACAAGAAATGTTTGCTGCATGGTAAGAGTCCATACACGAGTCTGGTGCTGTTGGTTAAGAAGGATGGGAGTTGGAGATTCTGTGTGGATTATCGCGCACTAAATCACGCTACGGTTGCTAATAAATTCCCTATCCCACTTGTAGAGGAATTGATTGATGACTTAAACAGTGCTCATATTTTTCAAAGCTTGATCTCAAATCTGGTTATCACCAGATTAGAATGAAAGAGGGAGACATTGAGAAGACGCCATTCCGAACACATGAGGGACATTATTAGTTCGTTGTAATGCCCTTTGGCCTCACCAATGCGTCGGCCACATTTCAAGCTCTTATGAACGAGTTGTTTCGAGTTCATCTTCGTAAATTCATTTTCATATTTTTTGATGATATACTCATTTACAGCCATAGCGCAGAAGACCATGCCTATCACTTGTCATTAGCACTTCAAATTCTTCGCGACAATCATTTGATGGCAAATCGTAAGAAGTGCGTTTTTGGGCAATATATGGTCGAATACTTGGGGCACGTGATCTCTCATAGAGCAGTGGAGGCAGAAGTTGGTAAGGTGCAAGCAATTAAGAAGTGGCCCTCTCCACGAACCGTTAAAGAACTTCGTAGGTTTTTAGGACTTACGGGATACTACCAACGATTTGTGAAGGGTTATGGAGGATTAGCTTTTCCTTTGACCCAACTATTAAAAAAGAACAGTTTTGAATGGAATGAGGAGTCCGAAACAGCTTTTCAACAGTTAAAGGCTGCTATTATGGGTTTGCCGGTGTTGGCCTTACCGGATTTCAATAAAGAATTCATTGTAGAAA